CCCCTTAGTGCAAGTGAACTGGTTAACTTCTATTAAGATTTGAAGGACTTAACCCTTACTGGCACTAAGCATTATTAGGTAAACCTTTAACTCTAAATAATACACTTTCACTCAAAACTAAAACAGAACATTTTCTGCTCCCGCTCTAACTAAAGGCATTTTATTCCTCATAAATGAAAGCATTTTTAACTAAACTCCATACAGGCCATACAAAACTTGAGCATTTTTCATTCACATGTGATTAAAATACACATTTTGAAGTGGCGCCATGGCCCGAGGTGGTTATACACCCTAGATTAGTAATCGTAAAGGATTGTTTTCCCATGGGTTTCAATACCTTGTTTAGGAGCAAGCCATTGTTCTCTTGAGCAATAAATTTCAATCATTGCTCAGTACAGGTTGGTTCCAAGAACAGTTTGAGAGTGTGCCTATAATCTTTGAGCATCTTACACAAAACTAAAAATAAATTCCTGTATAACCAAATACACTTTCATGCAAAGCATTTTTTCATAACTAAATTAACGGACTTGTTACAACAACTGCACAGATTTCCTTACTTTTCTCCGGGGGCCTATGGCTCTACAATGGTAAATATAGGCAAATGCCCATTACTGCCAAAACACTTAAGAAGTTAAAATCAATATACAGAAACTACTGTTTGAGGTTCTCTCAACATTTTCCTGTTGCCGCCACCAAATTTTCCAAGCCACCCTGAATGCCACATGAGCAATGTTGTCTACGGGGGTTCCGTAACGTTCTCCACAGAGTTGCATTAACTCCGCTCTGACCGGCTGTATGTGATCGTACAGGAAATCCGGTTGCAGGTTGTCCACGCACAACTCGAGTGTTTCGTAAACCCTTTATCAAAATGTAGAATATTTAGCATTACGAAATAAAATGCTGTTTATTTAACACCAATTTTTCGCACTCTATTTTTGGTCATATCTGTTTTGATGGTTCGACCAAACCAGCCTTCTGGATAACTTATCAGTAATAACAATTTGCTCTGCAAGTGGCTGATTACGGATTCCCCACACTATTTCCCAAATCAGCTGTGAGAGACAAAATTTGAGGGTTGAATGCAAAACTGTTGTAAGTCTTTTTTTATTTCATATAAGTTACTGCCAGTTTTGCAGTCAACCCTCCACTCAATTTAATGACGATTTGACTAAATGTCTGAGATCAATATAAATACTGTAAATAACTTAATCTTTTCATGGGAATAGAATTTCGTGGTTTTTGTCACTAAAGACATTTTCGTCGGTTCTTAAATTTCGTGGACTATTTTTTTCCCAAAAGTTAAAAAATGTTACCAGAATCTGATGCTAAATCATCTTTCAGCAGATGGATCTTAAATTCATGGACTGACCTATCCACGAAAACCATGAAAATTAGTGCCCCCGAGATTAATAATGATTTTGCAGTAATTGGAAATACGGTAAATTAAAATTCTTTCTGTAATATAACAGAAGTCACACTGGACATGTTTTTCTTCATTATATTCAAGGAACTTGCACTTTTTTGCTTCATTGATAAAGAGACCTAAACAAGAGCTAGACAAAATCTCAAGGTCTTGTATCATTTATCATCACCTTTTATTTAACATCACTAATGCTAATAATAAATATGCATCTATACAAAAAGCAAAAATTCTGTATAGAGCTCTAACTAAAGAACAAATATATAGCAAAAAAATATGTACTAATATCAAAATTTAAACAATAAAATCAAGAATCTCTTACCTGACTCACTAAGGTTTGGGATCCGTTGAGGGCGGACACTAGTGGGTCCATCAGCATGGGCAGGTATGGCAGGAGGGAACTGAGCCTGACTGGGACGGTCAAACACAACTCTACAAACAAATCCTTCATGTGCTGCCGATGTAAGCCACTCTGTAAACTGTTCAAACCTGAATCACAAATTTAAATCACTTTCTTCCCCCTCTTGACAGTTTATTTACATGCCTTGGTTTTGAATAAATCTTGAAATCTTCATGTATAAATCAAATATCAGTTTTTTGTTTTTTTAACTCCTGACAGTTTATATATGATGTATATGATTTAATTCTACATTGGAAATAAATGCAGACATAGTAAAAATGTTAAGTATGCCCAATAATACAGCCTTCCAGATGAGGGGAGCAGTGGCCCAGTGGTTAAGGTATCTGCCTCTAAACCCAGAGATCATGGATTCGAGCCCCTACTCGGGTCACAATCATGTTTCCTCATATGACACCAGTGCTGGTTGGTTTCAGGAAGCGAACTTGAAAGTGATAATATATGTCACAAAAATATGTTTTGAAATCGAGCTAAAATAAATATGTTTGTAATACACGTTCCGGGCTATAATTCATAAATTTACAATGTTGGGTATTTGCGGTCACAACAATTTAAGGATTATGTGGTCATTATTTAGTTTGTTTAAAAGATGCAAGAAGGGAGCACTTTGTTGTATTTTGCATCCATCGAGTATTGTACCTTTGACAAATGAAAGAATTCAAGTACTCTTCAACCACAATTATCATGACAAATAAATTATAACACCTTTATCCACACAGAACATAAAAGACTTAGGATATGATTTTCACTTTATCACTCAATCTTATACCTTGTAACAAATTTGGTAACAAGGGAAGGAACTCTTGATACAGAAGATCATGACTGCCGCCACCGATGGAGCGGAACAATGCTCGTAGCAGTAGAAAATAATTGTACGGCTCCTTGGCACTCATCGCAAGCTCCATGGAACGATTCACGATAGTATGCAAGTGAGGCTGAAAAGAAAATCAAATTATACATATAATCGTACTGTTAAAGTGGTAAAGTTTGCACATCGGAAATATTGGCGAATTTTTCTGAAATTGACGAAAGTCGCTAAAATTTCCTCTAGCGTAAATATTAACCAACCTGTCATTAAATTCTACCTATGCAAGATATGCTAATATTTGCCTTATGCGAAAGAAATTTTTATATTCTTTTCAACACGCGAAAATATCCACTTATACAGTATATGGAAACCATTTTATTATATACTTATAAATGAAATATTGAGAAATATTGATGAAATAAAATGCATATTTTCATTTTCCGTATTTTCACTGTAAAAATTTATTTTTCACTGCAGTGAAACATATTTTCCGTATTTTCACTGGTGTCTTGCCGGACTACTTTCTTTTAAATTCTGCCAGTACACAAAATTTAAGGGAGTCTTTCAAATTTTAATGTCAAAAAAGAGAAAAAATGTATATAATAAACAGAAAATTCAAGTTTTTTCTATAAAGACATGATTTATTTTCATCTTGTGGCATGAAAATTACCATATTTCACTCGTGGCTACAGCCACTCATGAAATATTTATTTTCATACCATTCGATGAAAATAAATCGTGTATTTATAGAAAAAACTTGAATATCCTCTATGTATTACACATTTATCCCAATTTCACCTTCATTACAATATCATAATATCAAGGAATTTAACAGCATCATAAATTTTACACTAAATTTTGCTTTTAAGTATTATTTCTTAAAAAGATAAACATTTAAATAAAGAATCAATGTTAAAAGTGATGCTATGTAGTGAAATCTTACACATTTCATTTACCTTGGTGCCCTTTTTGCTGTCTACAAAATGACAAAATGTGTCCCAGATATGTGTTCCATTTTCTCGCCTACAAGATGGGAATACCTATACAGCTCATTGTACCATACTATAACAATCCTGGCAGGTAAAAGGTTCAATGCCAGACTTAAATTTTTTTTTCCGCAAAAGCAACAGAAAATAAAGAACACTGTTGTGACATTCAAGGTGTCATTTGTTGATCATCAACAATATCTGGTACTTACCTTTAACATTTGCTCATTCTCATTCGCAAACAAAGACACAGAGCCAAACACCAGCTTGAATAACTTCAGGTATAGATTACTTCTCTCCATGTTACCTTTAAGTATAAAAGTGTAACATATTTGAAGATTAAAATGTATTTTTTTATTGTTGTTGTTGGGTTTTTATGTTACACCAACAAAGCATAGGTCATATGTCGACTATACAGCCTTGCTTATAAAGGAAGACATCAGGTGCCCTTCCTTGCATTATTTCAGAAACAAACTGGCACTGGAGTCAAACTATTCGTTATCTAGCATGAAAGAATTCAAAGTCGCTGTCAAGATTTAAACTCATAGTGGTGTAGGGCAAGTGGTTTGAACATAGTGGTAATACATATCCACTTATCTTAAAATGTTGTAAATGAAAAGAAAAACTACCATTTGCCCCTTAACCTGCTGAATTTTGAGAAGGGTCTCTACTACTATTTTGAAACAGTCCGTAATTGTCAGGGACTTTTAATATACTACATACAATAAAAGTTTGAATGACAGTTGGGATTTAAGCAAATTAACACCATAAAGGTTATATTGCAAGTTTCTAGTTTAAACTTGTTGGAAAATGTTTTATGTGACCCTATGTACATTATTTCAGTGGCAAGTTAACACTTGTGTCAAACCAGCCAACTTTCATTTGATAGTTTACACAGATTCAAATATTCATAAATCTCTGACAGGATTCCAAACAAGCCACTGTCATATGGGACAAGTGATTTAGTCAGCCGCTTTAACGGCAATTAAAGAAGAATATGTACTTGTATCAAAATTTAACCTATATATCTAAAATCTCTAACCTGACTCACTAAGGTGAAACTGTATTTAAATATGTAAATAAAAATATAAAAGTGCTAAGTGGATTCGCTCTACACTTGCAGGGAAGATAGTCCCGTTTCGATCATTATCATCAGCATAAAAATTGTATGAATTAAAGTCTGTCAAACAAATACTGTTTACATACTTCCCATTTCCTCCAGTCTTGCCAACAAGTACTCCACGAGTATGGTGGCAAACGTAGCAGACGTCGATGGGTTAGCGAGGAAAGTGTTCGCAACAATCTGCAGTGCGTAGTTGTTGTGTATACGATCAACCATAAACTCTATGGTAGTTGCAAATATCTCTTTAAATGTGAACGGGCTCATCATCGTAAACTGTAAATAGTAGGAGTATTTGAAATGTACCAGTTAATCATTCGGTTTTGCTTTATCATAATACCAAATCTCTTAAAATTAACTAAGATTTCCATTTAATGTAAATTAGGGATATTAAAAGGTAATTGTTAATCATTTAATTATGTAAATTTTTACAGAATATCAAGAACTCTAATGAAATAATGTAACATCATGAGAGAAAACAATATTTTAACCAACTAAAAATATATTGTCTTAAAGTTTTTGGCAAATGCAAACAAGAGAGGTTACACTCTGCTCTGGAAATGCTCGATAATGTACATAACCAAAAAAAAATAGCATGATAATAACATTTTAATCATCATAACACAAAGATTGTATGATAATAACATTTAAATCATCATAATACAAAGATTGTATGATAATAACATCTAAATCATCATAACACAAAGATTGTATGATAATAACATTTAAATCATCATAATACAAAGATTGCATGATAATAACATCTAAATCATCATAACACAAAGATTGTATGATAATAACATTTAAATCATCATAACACAAAGATTGTATGATAATATCATCTAAATCATCATAACACAAAGATTGTATGATAATAACAAAGATTGTATGATAATAACATTTAAATAAATCATCATATCATTAAGATTGTATTATAATAACAATTTAATCATCATAACACAAAGATTGTATGATAATAACATTTAAATCATAATAAGATAAAGATTGTATAATAATAACATTTAAATAAATCATCATATCATTAAGATTTTATGAAAATAACATCTAAATCATCATAACACAAATATTGTATGATAATAACATTTAAATCATCATAAAAACAAATATTGTATGATAATAACATCTAAATCATCATAACACAAATATTGTATGATAACAACATTTAAATCATCATAATATTAAAATTGTATGATAATAACATTAAAATCATCATAATATTAAGATAATAATACAAAGCTTGTATGATAATATCATTTTAGTCATCATAATACAAAGATTGTATGATAATAGCATTAAATCATCATAACACTAAGATTGAATTGTACGTACCACACCAGCAAAGTGTTCCAGTACTTCCTTTTCTTCTTTAGTTCTCACTGTTTGTACCCTACAAAAAAAATTTCAAATTTATACATCTTTACACGTCCATTTTTTATTACAGAAATTTACAAAGAATATGACACGAAAAAGACACTTTTTATGTACTTAGCAGGGAAAGTGACAACCTGGTGTAAGGACTTTTAGCGAATCTGCATGATTTTAAAGAAAATTTCAATTGGGAAGAGGCCCATTATAAGCCTCTGTTATATAATGTAAATTAAAGCCCTGCTTATTGTTGTTTCTTTTCTTTAACACTTGTGATACTCAAAAGATTGGTTTACATAAATACACACTTCTTAAAATTAATCCTGTGTAGACTAATAATATCTATCATATGATTGCGGTTCGGACCGGAATATCTGTCCCGAGGGGACCCGCCCATTGGGCAGTAACGAGGCTTGCCGAGTTACCGCCCATGGGCGGGTTCCCGAGGGACGGATTTTCCGATCCGAACAGCAATCATATGTCAAATATTTTTTCTTGCATATTCTGCCATATTTTTTCATATTTAAAATGGTTTACCTCAATATGATATATGTTCATGGAAATTAATGTCATTTCCTCCATAACTATTTTCTTACAATAGCGTATGAACTTACAACTTAAATAACAACAGCGAAATGACGTCATCCTAAGCACATATTTCCCTGCTAAAACAACGTCATTTTAACGCGGTTCATCCATAAAGTGCGCTAAAATGACGTTGTTGTTTGGCACACGACTCATCTGGCACCCCCCATGCCAGATGAAATTTCCGGCATGGGTAAAACTCACAGAAACGCCAGTCTACTATGCAAGAATGTTTGTTCCACTTTTTTTTTGTCTTTTTAGTGCAGTAATGTGTTAACTTCTTATATAATTTAATAGGAGTTAACCTGTTACTGCACTTAGGTGACGACAATTATGAAAGAACTTAGTTCTTACCAGTTAAACTATATTGCTACTCCAAAACTTACATGCTCAATAAACTTTTTTTCAAGAAAATTTCAGTTCTACAGAAACTAGCCAACCAGCATTTACTTGCCAATCAAAAACATGTTAACATTTTTCAAACCAATGGAAAGTCTTGATCTGAAAGATTACTTACACAGCAGGTCTAACTACAGCTTGTCCGTTAGGTGATACATTAATCGTGTAGATATCCAGCGCCTGTAGGGCATACCTCACCAGTCTTACATACACCAGAGTCTCCTTCGGTAAGAACTGTTTGTTCTGAACTAGACTTGTATCTGTCACATCTGAAAATGCATTTAAGCCCTGTCACGACAAACCAACATAATGGGTTTGCCACCAGCATGGATCCAGACCAGCCTGCACATCAGCGCAGTCTGATCAGGATCCATGCTGTTCACTATCAGTTTCTCTACTTGTAATAGAGTTGGTAAGCGAACAGCATGTATGCTGATCAGACTTCGCGAATGCGCAAGCTGGTCTGGATCCATGCTGGTCGCAAACCCATTATGTTGGTTTTGTCGTGACGCGACTCATTCTTTCTATTTTCAAAATCGTAGATAAAACAGAGTCCCATTCAAAAACAGTTTATCATTGAATGTTAGGGCACACCAACACAGTAAAGGTCAAATGGCAACTTTCCAGCTTCACTGGAGGAGGAATGCCTCAGGTGACCCTACATGTGTAGTTTCAGGCATCAGCAGGCACCTGAGTAGGACCGCAGACATCCGGTAAGCTAGCAATATAAATTCCGTACATAAAAGAATCCAATATCCTTGGCAGGATTGAAGTCAAAGAACATAGCCACTCTCGTCACAGACACTCGACAAATGTTAACTCTTACCTGTTTTTCATTAAAACCCTGCCTACTACAGGTTTAAGGAAGTAATAATCACTACCCCCACAGGTCAGCTTGAATTAATCATGGTAAAAGTATGCCTTGTCTCATACACACTCTCCCTAAGTATACCCGTTGAGTGGTACTAAAATCACTATCTACCTTAACAAAACATAAGTAATGTAGCTACAACATCTTTTTTTTAGTCAATTACATAAATATCTACAAAAAAATCATACAAAAATTATGACTTTACCTGTACCAGTAGCCTTGCATGACACAATACCCCAGGTGATTGTTTTCACACCACATACCAAAGTCTTCACCAAACCACGGCAGTCGGCCACAGAGTATGTGTTGTACTGACTAGGTGTCACACCAAATCTGTTCTGCGGCTAAAAGAAGAAACAAATCTAGTTACCTTTTTAGCTCAAAGTCACATGACTGTGATGATCGTCACAAAATATATTTATCTAATGTAAAGAAATCATTTGAGAGAAATATTACTCAAGATATAGACAAAATTACAGGTTTTTAAACGTTAAAAATGTTGAGCTTTATCTTTGCTTGAAAAAATACTAATGTTAAAAACATCTTTTCACCAAGCAGAATATATACTTGGATCAAGTACAGAGTGACCAGATGACAGAGTGGTTAACACTTCAGACCAGTAATCTAAGGATTGCTAGCAGCTTGGGTTCAAACCCAGTCAAGGAGCAAGATGTTCTTTCTGTCAGCAAGAAACTTCACACTTATTTCTTCATACTGGTTTGTTCCAGTAACAAATTCAAGAGTATTTCAATAAGCTTATACCTTCCAACACGATCAAACTAAAATAAATTGGTATAAACTAATTACAGATTACTCATGTATATCCATTCTTAACTGAGCTGGCAATTTTTTAATTTTGCTATGATGGGCCATAGTGAAATGTACCTTGTCATTATCTTTTGAAGCACTCGACTCTTTGATGTCAGCAGAGACGCTACCTAGAGGTGGTTTCACGTCAGATGATGTAGGGGTCTCCGGTACGACTCCAGGAGTTGTTGGAATACTTGAAACGGTGGGGGTTGTAGCGGGCGGTGTCTTAGACTCTCCAGGCTTGCTTGGGTCAGTGGCTGTCTGATTTGGCTGCTTTTGGCTGAAATTATCGAATACATTATTGGATATGCAGTAAAATCAACACTTAGACTGATGTAATTCGTTCTTAATTTTCAGACACAATTAGAATCATGCATGTCTGTTTTATTAGAATACAATAGTTAAACTCATATTTGTTTTGTATGGCATTTAATACCATGCTAGTGTCTTGATATTACAAAATTTATCAGGCAAAGCTTAGAAAAACAGAAGGGCAACGCTTAGCTGCATGCAGAAATATGCCGAGGTCACAAGAGAGAATGTAATATTTAAAAATTCTATGTGCTTCAAAGTTCATCAATTTAATATTTTCAAACTAGTGAGAGGTAAAAACATTTCATTATCTTCATTTTCTTACAATATATATTGATGAGGTGTCTGATAAAAGCTGAGGGTGACTGATGAAGCTATATTTATCAGGCATGTACTTTATCAACAGACATCAATGTGATGATATGATAAAAAGGACAATCTTTGTAGGACATTTTAAATAGAATGCAGGCATGAAATTTGGTTTAAAGCCATTTAACACAATAATATGAATCATTTCCATGAATGCCACAATCAATAATTCTCAGAATCAGTATAATACTGAGAAAAATAAAGTATGACTCACTCGCTCTCACACATGTGTGTTATATTCTCTCATATTCTATGGACACTTGTTGCCAATCAAATCTACATTTAATCAATACTTCTTAAAACCCGTATAATAGCAAGAAAACTAAAATATGACTCACGCACTCGCTAATACATCTCTATTATATTTTATCATATTCTATGGACATCTGTTACCAATCACATGTACATTATAATGACTTCGATAAAAGTTGATAAATAAATTAAAACGCTTCAACAAGAGTTATCATTAAGTGTAAATACTTTTATGAATTTATGTACAAGACTAGCAGTATTCTGTCTTGCATATCAGATAGGATTATCTACTGTTTACACCGATACTAGAAAAACTTCATCTTACAACTCTACTCCCCTGCCCCCTCCACTGTCATCCCTGCCCCCCCCCCCCCATCTCCCTAACCGTGTGACACAGGTTGAGTGCTTAACATGATGTCATTCCTGCATGCCTTTCATGAATAAATTGCACCGACAGGATGACATAATTTTTCTGTAATAACTGAAGTTGTAAATTCATATGCTACAACAAAAAAAATATAAGAAAAAATTGTGCTACCGGAAAATATTAGTTTTCGTAATTCCTTTCCGAAATATGACTACTATTTAATATGCAAGAAAAAGAATTAAATATCTGCAGTCATCACAGACGGGAATATCTAGCTCTCGGACAACTGTTTAGTGGAAACTCGTCAGAGCCTCGTTATCGCCGTAAATTGTTACCCTCAAGCAAGACATTCCGGTCTGTACCTATGTGTAGCCAGTAAAATATCCTTAAATTCTGTAATTTTTTAACTGTCCATAGTAACATGAAGAGATTCCGGTAACAAAGTATAAGAAGATTTAGACAGCCTAATGGTCTTTCAATCTGGAGTTTTTCATCTATATTTGAGAGGGATTTCAATATCAATGTAAACTACAGTCTCCAAAATTGGAACTGTCCATCCTACAAACTTGACCAGATTTCAATATCATTGTAGACCTACAATGGGCTTTAAATCTGGAGTTTTCCATCCTTATTTGAAGGGATTTCAATACAAATGTAAAACTATAGTCTTTGAATTTTAAACTGTTCATTATTTCTAGAAAGGAAGTTTACTGTATTTAAATCAAGTAGCAGACAGCTTAAACTGCAAGAACATGCAATCTGACCTTTCCACAATCTGACCTTTCCACATTCTTTCACAAGCATGTCACTAACACCACTTGCGTTAAAAGGGTTATCCTGAACATCATTTGACCAGAAAACCTTGTGTAATATGCGCAAGTACTTGAGCTGCAGATCAATCCTGTAAAGTTTCATTGGAATTGCCTTAGTGGGATAAGAGGAGTAGTCCGGACAAACTTTAAAAATAAAATCATTTAAAAGGCCATAACTCCAACAAAATTATTTGAACCAGAAAATGCCGAAGATATGCACAACTGGACTTGGTACAGATCATTCCTGTAAAGTTTGGATAAAATTGCACCCATTGTTTTCAAGAGTAGTCCGGACAAGTTTTGTGACAGATGGACAGAAAGATGGGCAAACGATGGAGAAGTGATCCCTACTCTGTAGAGACGACACAATTACTTACCATTTTGACAGTATCTGTGGCAACTGTATCTTGGCAATAGTCTTAAACTTGAGTACAAACACCTCTAGCATCCTCATCAGCAACTCTCTGCCCTATATTATAAGAAAAATATTACATTAAATATATACATTCAAAACTCAAAATCAGAAATCATGGGGCACACAAAATGCAAGTAAAACTTTAAAGTATTAAAGCTGTAATAAATTTTAATTGGATCATTCAGATTTTTTTTTAACTGCAAACGTATATAAGGAAAAAAACGTCTTGATTTTAATAGGCTAGGATCTTACAAAGTGCAAAGGTTTAAATTAATATGGATCCAGTGAAATTCACAAGAACCAAATACTAGTTATAGATAAAGATACACTTTTAATAACCTTTTCATTATGTACTATGTAGAGTTTAAATGAAATATTCATTCATAAACTTTTTTTTTTTTTGGTTGGGTTTTACGTCACACCAACACATCACTGGTCATATGGCGACTTTCCAGCTTTAATGGTGGAGGAAGAACTAATAAGCTCTTCCCTGAATTATTTCAGGCATGAGCCGGTACCGAAGTAGAACCACCAACATTTTGTAAGCTAGCTTGACAACCTCCTCACATAACAGCATCCAAACTCCCTGGTGGGACTAGAACATCCAGTGGTGACGGGCAAGTGGTTTTAGGTAAACGACCTTAACCACCTGGCCACGCATCTCAAACATAATGGGTATAACACCAGCAAAATCAATCCAAATCACACACATGTGTGTCTACCAGTTCCTTTTTGTTAATGTGATTGATGCATTAAAGTACTAAAATATGTACAGGTGTGTAACAGACATATTTCAACACTAGTCATCTAGTCTTGTATCACAAATTCTTCATAGTCACATCCCTAATAAAAATCCCAAACAATCTTAACATACTTTGTTGAAAAGTCCAACAAATGCCAGTTACTTGTAATACATACATTTCCATTTTCTTGTTCACTTTTCTGTCTTATACAGTCCACAAGATTCAGTAACAATTTACACGACATTGTTTGTATACTGCTCAGCAGCGACTCGTCATGGACATTCTTCGAGAACAAATTCACCGCCATAGACAGTTCCGTCATAGGTAACGCCTGTCTAACATGGTGAACGAGATCTGCTAATGTACTGTAAGCTAGCGGCCTGAAATAATACACTGACTGTTTAATATTCCTTAAAACTATTTCATATCAGTGCCCCTTTAACATTCTCACTGTAAATGTCTATAAATAAAGGACATACTATGCTATAAATTTCAAAACAACATATACAGTTAAACCTGTGTTAAAGACCACCTCTGAATAAAGACCATTCTGTAAATAAAGGCCATTCTTCAAAAACTCTACACTGATTAAATATAACATAACCTGCAAATAAAGACCATTTGTCAATAAAGGTCATGTTTTGTCTCTCCTTTGGGTGACCTTTGTTTACAAGTTTGACTGTATTGTTGTTTTTAAAAGAAAAAGAGTTCAATATCAAGAGTCAAATACCCCCACAGCCAACATTGGAAAATCTCGAAAGCTCATACAAATGTTAAGTATTGCCATGTAAAACAAAAAAAAACCTTACTTTACCCTGCAGTATAGACTAGAAATCTAAAGATTGCTGGCTGCATGTGTTCAAATCCAGTCAGGGGCTTGTCGTTGTTTCAAAGGAGCAAGAAACTTTACATTCATTGCTTATTACTGGTTGGTTCCAGGAACGGATTCAAGAGTTTTAAAGTTAATTCGTAAAAACTAAACTACCATATTTCCCGAAAAGAGCTTCTTCCGTCATATTAACAGATCAATGACGTTGGCTAAAATTTCTTATTTTAAATTTTGCAAAATGCGTACCGGTAAGTATTAACATAATTATAATGACATACCTGAGAGATTCGTATGTTGTCCAACCATTTCCTATCAGTATTCCTTCATCAAACAACTTGTCTATTACGCTCACAAACTCTAAAAACAAATACAAGATGGATTAGTAACACACAGAGGTATAGCGTTGGACCGTTAATCTGGCGACCCGGGTTCGATTCCGGACAGTGCCTCTACTCGACAGTGCAAGTCATTTTCATTGTATTTGATCATGAAATCCTTCCTATGGTCATTCCAACTGTACCCCTGCTCTGGTATGTAGAGAATTTGTCAGTTCCATGCAAAAGTGGATGCAACAAGTTCTGAGTTCTGGGTAAACGGCTGGACAGCTTACCCAGGAACTATGGGGCTGGCTGAACTGGTGCTCTGGTAAATTCAGTGTGGCTCCCTGTCATTATCAGGAGGGTAAACTATCAACACTCTGACCACCACAAAGGCTCCCATCTACTTTCTGTTTTAAGATAAGAAAGATAAAAGTGCGCTGACCTAGCTTTAAGCACTTCCTTTATACACTTGAAACTGTTTAATTATCAAGTTTTCATAAAAAAAATCATTAAAAATCGCCCCCAGCGTGCTGCTTGAAGTCACAAATTTCCCCCAAAAAAGGATGAATGGTTCGGTCCTAATTGAAAGATGGACAAGTCCACTTATGATATTCTAGGGGGGGAAAATGGTCTAAGTATTTGCACTTACTGTTCCTAAGGTCTGTTGCTAGAATATGCTTAGCAGCAATGAGAAGTTCCTTTCTAAGGTGAGCAACTTCCTGCGGGCACAGGGACAGCAGGCTCAGATGACCTTGAACCATCTTCTGCGAGTACGTTTGTACCTGTTCCTGTAATATATTTCAGTAAGATCTTGTTCATTATTGCATGTATAATACATTATTCTTAGAACATGTTAATTTTAGCAAATCTATTTTTTGCAATATCTATTGCACGCAAATAAACCGAAAATCAAATACTCGCAAAAAAAACCTGATATACAGTAAATATATATATACATAGATGTATCATCTAAAGAGAAAACACTAGGCTACAGTGCTTGACACACAAAATTTAGAAGTTATCAGTTATCTCATAAGATCACTTCTTGTAAAACATCTCATTCTGCAGTGTATCTGGCCGTCTGAAGCACGGTCTAGTAACAATAACTTGCCTTGAATTTGTTTTTCATTAAAATGGATTAGACAATACATTTAAAAATTAATTATTACCTGAAAAATTCTGACAATATAAGCTAGGAATGACAACGTCTTGATTTGAGCTGCGACAAAATCGACAAACACTTCCTTGTTGAATGCTGGGTGTGTTCTAAAAATAGACATAGACAATAAAATAGAGAAAAACGGAAGCCCTGAAGAACGCCCAAAACAACAAAAATGAAAATGTTGCAGACTCGGTTTGATTGAGTCTGTTTATGGATGGTACTGGAAAGTGCAAGCTGCAGTCCACGCCCCCTAGCAGCGGCTTAGGCAGACTACATAATCGAGAAGCACACAAAAAGGTTTGGGGCCTCCCTGGCCAAGTGGTTAATTTTGCTGACTAAAATCACTAGAGACTTCAAATCAAGTCAAGGAGTTTTGAGTTCAATTTGTGAAATGCAGGGTTTTTATTTTTATCAGAGACAACAGAAGTTCTTACTTAAACAACCAATTCTGCCAGGGTCAAGCACATTATTTTTATCTACAGGCTGAAAGTACAACAGATTTTAACAGAATTTTAACCAATGATATGGATCGCCATTCTGTTAAGTATGATAACCCTGGAAATATATCACGCCACCTTATAGGCAACATAAAAACATATGGTTTGCGGAAATATTTCTCTCGATTATTATGCCAGCCTAACAAAATGTTGTTTATTTGAAAGACACATTTACTTACAACAAAACACCAGCTGTTTTTTTGTTGTTTTTTTTTTCTTCAATTAGTACGTTTTTACCATAGTTTGGAAAGAATTGTCTTTAGTTAACAAGATGTGTTTCGGTTGCAGGTAAATATCCAACTTTAGTTGAAGAAATGTGAAGTTAGAAGCAAAAGTTTAATCCGTCATGGGCACAAACCATCATGCATACTACAGATTGAATATGGTTAGCCTAGTATGTTTGATTGATTGGGTTTTATGTCACACAGACAAAGTATAGGTCATATGACAGCATTCCAGCTTTCCTGGTGGAGGAAGACCTCAGGTGCCTTTCCATCCATTATTTCAGACACAAACCGGCACCCGAGTAGAACCACTGATGCTCCGTAAGCTTGCTTGATAGCTACCTTACATGAAAGAATCTAAAGTCCCTGTCGTGATTTGAACCCACAGCAGTGAGGGGCAAGTGGTTTGAAGACAACGACCTTAACCACTCTGCCACAGACCCCCCTGCTTAGCCTAGTAAATATGGAGCTAAATCTGTGTGTACAAACATACCTGTGTTGCTGTAAAGGTTGAAGAACAATGGTGTTCATGATCAGTGGTATAAAGTTTGCAACCTCCTGATGAACGTTCGGCTTGTACAGCTGATACATTAATACCACAATGATTGGAAGCTCTGCCAGAACTTTTAGAGAGAGGACACCTTTTGGTATGATGTTGTACTGAAATATATCAAATATATAACATATTTATAATAACCATAACACGCTAAAATATCTTAAAGTGACATTATGCTCATATTTTCATAGTCAAGTTGAGCTGAATTGACTTTATATTTCAAAAGATTGACTGTCAAAATGGTGTTTGACCAACAGTTGATATTAGAAAATGGTTTAGGAGAAAATTATAAATCTGCCTAAAATTTAAAAAGACTGCCCCACTCATTTTATAAACTAAGCGTTGTAGGTAAATTCTAATGTATCGTTACAGAAATTTCATTTGGATCTGTGTGTAAATTATTGTTTATGTGAACTTAAATATTAAATTGAAAGGATTTATGGCAATATGAAAACTTATTTTGATCTTCACCTGTTCACTCACTATATACCTGTGGATGGGCATAATGTCACTTTAAATGGACTTTTTTATCCATCAGTTTGTCCATCTATCTTCACAAAACCATTTATCATTATGAGTCACAAATCAGTATGGTTAAAATCATAAAGTTAGAAAGGTAAGAGCCACAAGTCAATATGGCTAAAACCATAAAGTAAGAAAGGAAGGAGCCACAGGTCAATACCGCTAAAATCATAGAGTTAGAAAGGCATCAGCCACAAGTCAGAATGGCTAAAATCATAGAGTTAGAAAGGAAGGAGCCACAAGTCAATACGACTATAATCATTAAGTTAGAAAGGCATCAGCCACAAGTCAGAATGGCTAAAATCATAGAGTTAGAAAGGCAGGAGGCACAAGTCAGTATGGCTAAAAATATAAAGTTAGAAAGGCAGATGCCACAAGTCAATATGGCTAAAATCATAAAGTTAGAAAGGCGGGAGCCACAAGTCAGTATGGCTAAAATCATCAAGTTAGAAAGCAAGGAGCCACAAGTCAGTATGGCTAAAATCATCAAGTTAGAAAGGCAGGAGTTACACGTCAATATGTCTAAAATTATTCATGTTAGAAAGACAGAAGTTACAAGTCAGTATGGCTAACATCATAAAGTTAGAAAGGCAGGAGTTACACGTCAATATGTCTAAAATTATCATGTTAGAAAGACAGAAGTTACAAGTCAGTATGGCTAAAATCATCAAGTTAGAAAGGCAGGAGTTACACGTCAATATGTCTAAAATTATCATGTTAGAAAGACAGAAGTTACAAGTCAGTATGGCTAAAATCACAAGTTTTGAAAGGCGGAGTTACACGTCAATATGTCTAAAAATTTTTCATGTTTAAAAGACAGGAAATTACAAATCAAATATGGCTAAAAATCATTTAAAGTTTTTGAAAGGGAGAGCCACAAGGGCAGTATGGTTTTAAAAACATAAAATTAGAAAAGTAGGAGTAACAAGTCGTATAGCTAAAAAACAATTTAAATTTTTGAAAGGGAAAGGGGCCACAAGTCAATTTTGGCTTAAATCCCTTAAAATTTTAAAAAATGTAGGGCCACAAGTCAGTATTGCTAACATCATAAAGTTAGAAAGGCAGGAGTTACAAGTCTATATGGCTAAAATCATAAAATAAGAAAGGCAGGAGCCACACAGATGCGTGGCATTATATCACAAAGATGTAGCCTGAGTGATATAATACTGCGCATCCGGACAACAAACAGTGATGCTATCTTTTACATAGTATACTGAACCAAAAAAGAAACTTTCGCAAAGTATATGCCAGTTGTTCAAGGGTACCACTTAGATGAACACACTTATATACATGTAGTAGCTTGTAAAACTCGTTTTGCTTGCAACTACAGGTCAGCTAATCCCCGTATAAAAGCCCGATATGTTTATTCAACGTAAAAAATCGAGTTTCAAAAGGATTGAAAAACTGTTCTAACATATCTACATTCAAACTTGGAGAAAGTTTCTTTTTTGTTTCAGTATATATTAAGACTACTATAAGACGATTGCTAAACCCTTATCTTGTCAATTTCCTGGCCATAACCAAATGCCATGACATGCCAACAACAAATGAATAGGATAGCACTAAATATCATTGAATAGTCTGGGTAAAAAGTTTAAATTTCCTGGAAAAATATCAAGTTAATATATAGGGTCAGTGTAAGATCTGAATATATTTCACCCAGTGAGCACTAAAAGGTATATTTCAGGAATGTCTCAGCCACAAGTGAAATATCAACTTTTGGTGTTCATGTGGTGAAATATATTTCAATCTTATTCTAAACTAAACAAATTTTCTTTTCATTATTTGCAAAGAATCGTTTAAAAAGGCATTTTCACCGAATACTCAATGAAAAACACGCCTAATAATATTACTATGTGATGTCATTTACAACGTCACGTCATTAAGTTGGTTTCCAGTACTGTGCACTCTGGTATTTCACTGAAACAACGTAACAGGCTTAAATGCAAAACAGTGAAAAATATCAAATTGATATTTTCAAAATACAATACAAAGTTATTCACCCCCCACACACACTTTTTTTAGTTATGAAACTTGACCTGCATATCTTACTTGCGACACTTCGTATATATTTGAAGTTTCAAATGATTATCTGTTCTAGTTTTAGAAATATTCAAGTACATGTAAAAATTTCAGAACATTTTCTAAGTCAATTTTTGACCTTCAAGTGTGGCCTTGACCTTAAGCTGGCACAAGGGTAAGATGGGTTCTGAACATTGCCCAGTTGGGGTGAACATTTGAGTCAAGTTTGAAGAAAATCCTTCCATTAGTATAGAATTTATTGAGCGGACACAACATATTGTCTAGTGTTGATTGTATGTAAATTTAATGACATAAAAAGGGGAATAACTTTGTCAAAATGCATTCAGAGTTATGAAACTTGACCTGCATATCTTAATTGTGACACTTCATATATAATTTAAGTTTCAAGCAAATACCTTTTCTAGTTTCAGAAATATTCAAATACATATTAAAATTTAAGGATATTTTCCAAGTCAATTTTTTACCTTCAAGTGTGACCTTGACCTTAAGCCGGCAAAAGGGTAACATGGGTTCTGCACATTACCTTGTTGAGGTGAACATTTAAGCCAAGATTGAAGAAAATCTTTCAATTAGTGTAGGACTTACAGAGCGGACACGACATAGATGATACTGTCTAATATTTGATTGTTTGATATTTGACCTTCAATTGTGACCTTGAGCTGACACATGGGCAACTTGGGTTCTGCACATCCCCTTGGTGAGGTGAACATTTGAGCCAAGTTTGAAGAAAATCCTTGAATTGGTATAGGATTTATAGAACGGACACAATAATGGAGAGGGAGGGACGGACCCACACGACAAAGCGAATCCATTATAGCACCCCCCCCCACCCTCTCCCCCACATTTTGTGGTGGGGGAATAATAACAGTTTTATATTTCACTGATATATATTTCTATAAACCACTGAAAAGCTTGTAATAAAAAAAATATTATTTGTACATTTATTATGAATCACTGAAGAAGTTTTACCTATCCTATATGGTGACAGATGGTAACTCAATTATCCTTTCAAGAGAGAAACACTCTATCATATTATACACACATGTACAAATTTGTATATATTTTATAACAACTTTAAATGATCACCTTAACTATTTCATAGACAGTCTTATACCGGCCATAATTTCAAAGAAATCAAATACAAAATAGTAATATGGAATAGCCAACTGGTAAAAATATATAGAAAGTTAGACCCATTTTTTTTGGAGTTTACCCTTTCGATCACAGCAGAGACCCACTTTTTTTTAATTTACCAGAGCACAGTTTAGTCACCATATCCTTAACAAGCTGCCAAATAGTTTACAAGTACTATGTACTAGATGCCTTCACTTCTTAAGGTAATGCTAGCTACTAATGTACATGTTGGAGCAAAGGTACAGTACAATGGCTGTAGAAAAGACTGTATCATCAATCACAAAAAAATCAGTGATTTTTTTGGTATATATTTTACAGCATTTTACAGACTGTTTCTTCTAGCCAATCTTGCTATATTTTCCCCTAAAATAATCAAAATTTTGATTAAAATTATGGATTTGGTACATTTTAAGTTGTTGGTGTTTGAATTCAGCTTTTCCCCATTTTTGATACACTGCCCTATACCTTCCCTGTCAGAATGTCACAGGACGTTTTGATAATTCTTAACGTACTGTCCGGGAATCAAACTTTTGTCACTTCATTCACAGTCCCAACGCTCTACCAATTGAGCTTTTTTTCTTCTTTTTTTTTATGCGTTTATTTAAGGTCGCCGCCGGAAAGCCCATATGGCCAACAGTACACTCAAGTTGGGCCATCCTAGAGCGTCCCGTCGAGATTTTTCGTTGATTTTTTCCAGATTTACTGGTGGAGGAACCGCCTCCGTGGTCGAGGGGTTAGAGTCGATGACTTCTAATCCAGTTACATCTCTGACGTTGGTTCGATCCCCGGGAGATGCTTTGGTAGTTTAGCGCGGAGGAAGGTAGTCTAGTACTGGTGTAACTCTCCAGGAACGATGGTTAGGAAACTACCCGCCTATATAACTGAAATACTGTTGGGAAAAGGCGTGAAAATGAAACAAACAAACAAACAAACAAATTACTGGTGGAGGAAGACCCCAGGTGCCCCTCCGGACATTTTTTCAGGCACGAGCGGGCACCTGGGTAGAACCACCGACCTTCCGTAAGCCAGCCGGATGGCTTCCTCACAATTGAGCTTTAGTCAAATTTGTCTTTTATACTTACTGAAACGCTTTGATTATCTGCATTTTTCTTGTCAGTCATGATTGTTGTAACAGTGTATGTCTCTTGTAGTAACGCGTCTACGTTGATCTCCGCAACATCCTTCACCTTGATCTGGGAACGAGGCTCAAAAATTTTGTTCAGGTGTGACGGCAAATTTGTATAAATCTGGTTCACAAACTTCAGAAAATCTTGAATCTGTCGAAAAATACAAAACATTCTGATCATTTTTGTTCTCTTAGCTATTTGTGATATATTCTCAAGATATTTAACAAGTCAATTTAACATAGGACACATGAATATAAATTAAACCTGACAAGATATTTCTTCATATGACACCAGGACAGACTGTTTCCAAGAAGCTGGCACCAGAGTGTTACAAACAACCTTAAAGCTTTAATCAGCTAAAAAAAGATTTGTTTAAAACTAAATAGGTCAACCTAACATCACAGTAATAATGCATATTTACAATTATAACAACACATACCTCCTCGTTCATCTGCGGTCTGTATTGTTTATGTAGCTCTATGATTATCTTCAGACATACCAATACATTCTCCTCATTCTCCACCTGTATACAGAAAACCAGAAAATCGTATACGGTCAAATAATGCCTATACGGTCAAATTCATGCCTATACGGTCAAATTCATGTGTAATT